TGAGTGGCCCCAGTCGTGCCTCCTTCCACGCGCCGCTTAGTCACGGAACATGGTCCCTTTCCGAGGGCATCGTGCCTTCCACACAACCCTATGCGCCTTCCTCGCCGCTGCCCTGCTCCTGCCCTTGCTTGCCGCAGCCGACTATGTGCCGACAAACATCACCGAGACGCCCAACTTCCAGCTGCTGCCTGGCATCGCTTCGGTACCAGCACCCGTCATCGTCGCGCCGGACCAGAACTGGCTAGGAGTCGACGGCTCATGGAACACCTTTACTCTGCGCGTGGGCGAAACAGGGGAGAATGTGCGCGTCTTTGTGTCGACTGCAAGCCAGCAGATATGGGCCATCAATCGCATGGCGTGCATCACCAACACCACGAGCCCGGTGACAGGAGAAATTACAGCATACAACGTCTTCGACTCGGATTGTGAAACCAGCCGCGGCTTCCTATTCAACAGCAGCAACTCGGAAACATGGCAGCAAAAGGGCTTCTACCAACTGTGGATCGAGAAGTATCTCGGACTGGTCGGCAATGGATTGTACGGCTTCGATTCGGTGGGTCTGGGGAGGGCCGGGGAGATGGGGCCCTCAGTTCAGAACACCACGATCGGCACCTTGGTCACCGCCAACTTCTGGCTCGGGCATATAGGTGTGCATTCCAAGTCGACCAACTTCTCCGTCTTCGATGAATCCGTTCCGAGCTACCTGACCACGCTCTTCGACCAGAAGAGCATCCCCAGTCTGTCTTTTGGCTACACGGCAGGCGCCCAGTACCGTAAGACATTACCACGTAGCCTCGTTGCAAATTACTGACTCGGAGGCACAGGTGACCAAACAGTCCTCGGAAGTCTCACGCTTGGCGGTTACGATGCCTCTCGCCTCATTCCCAACGACCTCACCTTCATCTTCGCCCCGGATAATGAGCGCGACCTGGCGGTTGGTGTCGTCGGCATCACGGCAGATACCACGTCGAAAGGAGATATTGATCTCCTCATGAACCGGGACGACGTGACCATGTACATTGATTCGACGGTTGCAGAACTCTACCTGCCGGTTGAGATATGCCAAGCTTTTGAGGATGCATTTGGACTAAAGTACGATGAAAAGACTGATCTCTACCTTGTGGATGATGCGCTTCACCGGGATCTCGTCGCGCAAAACCCCAGTGTCACGATCACTATCGGCCAGAAATACAGCACGGATTCGACTTTGCAGATCACTTTGCCCTATGCTGCTCTAGACTTGGAGGCGACTCCTCCGTATAGAGGGTTGCAAGAGAAGACAAAATACTTTCCTATCAGACGAGGTGCGGAGGCGCGTCAGTGGGTACTGGGTAGAGTCTTCCTGCAGGAAGCCTACTTGACCGTAGACTGGGAACGTCAGAACTTCACCGTGTCAGCGGTGGACTGGACGTTTGGCAAAGCTCCACAAATCATGCCTATCGTGTCGCCCACCTACGCGGTTCCGCACTATGATCCCCCAAAGAAGAAGCCTTTGTCTTCAGGGGCAGTCATTGGTATCGCAGTGGGGGGTGGCTTCTTCGTTGCTCTGATTTTCTGCGCAATTGGGTGGTGGTTCTGGCGACGGCGGCACAAGCGCAAGCTGGCAGACATCAAAGCGCAATACGAGGCCGATGTCGCTGCGGCGGCGGTCACCAAGATGGATCCACCCGTGTCAGAGGAGGCTCCGACGTCTCCAGTACGAAGTAGTACAGAAGGCGTGACTGTCTTCGCGAAGGCCGAGCTACCTGGCTCATCCCATGTGCATCACGAGATGAGCTCCAGCGCAGAAGAGAAGGGATCATCAGCCGTGCATGAGGCAGATGGCGAGGAGCGTCAGATCTATGAGATGCCTGGAGACATGCCTGTGCTTCCCGAGGCAGGCGGCCGTCAACTGTCGGAAAAGGAGTCCATGGTGGTACGCGAGAGGATATACAACGGCATAGATCCGACCGGCACGCCAGATGCAACCCCAGCTGCGTACGAAGAGTCGCGCAGGCTCCCACCAATATCCCCGTCCGAAGTGTCGATAGTGAGCGGTCGGCTTCCGACCGACAACGTGTCGCCCATTACACCACGCACACCAAGAGACGGTGCTTTCTTGGAAGCCTCGGACACATTTTTCCAATTGCCGCCCTACCGTGCTCGCGAAGAACGACGCGCCGAGTCGGATGGCGATCCCCTTTCCCCCGTCTCGCCGCTGGAAGGGTCTACGGATGCCTCCCGACGGCGATTCTCTTACGAGTCATGAGGCCAAAAAGCTGCTTGTTCTGCGACGTTACGACTGGCGTTTATTTTGTTTGGCATAGGTGGCGGGTTTATCTTGGCACCACGGATATGGCGTTTGAGAGGGAATAGTTTGAATTGTGCATAGCAGAGGCTGAATACCCATCTAGACGGCGGCACGTGGTAGAAACGAGCAGCCACGTTTTGTTAGTGTATATAGTGTAAATACACGCTTTTCGCGCACATGGCGGCAGACCCTGAGGGGACGATAGATTTGTACAGGTGCATGACAGCCAAGTCGGAGCGCTAGGCTCATGCGTTCATGCTGTCGGGCTGGCCGTCGGCTGGCTAAACGGTCGCGGGCCTGCAACGGGCAATTGTCCTGATTGTAGGGCAGAGCCAGCGGCGCGGGCGAAGCGGTCTGAGGAAGGTGCCTTGGGCAGCGCCTTGCCGCAAGCAGCCAAGTTGAACCCCTCGTCCGCGCAGCGACTGGACACCAACCCCACCATATCCTCACGGAGGCCGCGACGAGGCACAGGACGACCGCTTTTCTGCTGAAGCCAGTCCGTCAATCGCTTTCCTATTGCTTGCGACTTCCCGGTGAAGACTCTGCGCCTGCCTCGACTGTCCCACCACCCGCCCCGTGCCAGAGCCGCCGCCCCGCTTTGTGTCGAAGCAGCTCCTGTCAGTCATCACATTGGCCGCGCGCCTAGCCTTATATCATATCGTGCGCTTGCCGCCCGCACTTCTTCTCCACAGTCTACATTGTCCGACTTCTGCGTCTTCAATCGTTACCTTCTTTACATACCTCTGAAGATAGAAAAAGCCTTACCCCGCCGCAGCTGCCACCATGGGCGACCTCGCCAACCGCAAAGTGTTCAAGGTAACGTTATATCCGCCATTCAGGGCCGAGCACGCGTACTGACAGCTTGCAGGTGTTCAACCAGGAGTTCATCGTCGACGAGCGCTACAATGTAACCAAGGAGCTGGGACAGGGTGCCTACGGCATTGTCTGGTACGACCCGAGCCACGGCGCGCCGCATAACAAGTGCTGATGATGCCCCCAGTGCGGCTACCAACAACCAGACGGGCGAGGGCGTGGCCATCAAGAAGGTCACCAACGTCTTCAGCAAGAAGATCCTCGCCAAGCGTGCCCTGCGCGAGATCAAGCTGCTCCAGCACTTTAGAGGTAAGTTGGCATGCCACCTGCCGGCTGCAACACTACTAACACCTGCCAGGCCACCGTAACGTAAGACACACATGCTCCCGAGTGCCCCGATCGACCCCATGCTAAACCCGTCGCACAGATAACATGTCTCTACGACATGGACATTCCCCGCCCAGACAACTTCAACGAGTGCTATCTATATGAGGGTATGCATGACATCCCATGCTTGATAAGACGGTGCTAACAGGCGTGTAGAGCTCATGGAGTGCGACCTGGCAGCCATTATCCGGTCCGGCCAGCCGCTCACCGATGCCCACTTCCAGTCCTTCATCTACCAGATCCTCTGCGGTCTCAAGTACATTCACTCGGCCAATGTACTCCATCGCGATCTCAAGCCCGGTAACCTCCTCGTCAACGCCGACTGCGAGCTCAAGATTTGCGACTTTGGTCTTGCAAGGGGTTTCTCCATGGACCCCGAGGAGAACGCAGGATACATGACCGAATATGTCGCTACCCGATGGTACAGAGCCCCTGAGATCATGTTGAGCTTCCAGAGCTATACAAAGGCTAGTAAGTAGTCACTCCCTCGTGATGGCGTTTGTCGTTGGCGTACAGAGTCAGTGTCTGTGCCCATCGACGATACCGCTTAGACATTTCACATGCCGAGCTCAAGCTGACTCTGCGTAGTCGATGTGTGGTCAGTGGGCTGCATCCTTGCTGAGCTGCTTGGCGGTAAGCCCTTCTTCAAGGGCCGCGACTACGTCGATCAATTGAACCAGATCCTGCACTACCTTGGAACACCAAACGAGGAGACACTCTCCCGCATCGGCTCTCCCCGTGCGCAAGATTACGTTCGCAATCTACCCTACATGCAGAAGATCTCGTTCCAGTCCCTGTTCAGGAACGCCAACCCAGACGCACTTGACCTGCTCGACCGCATGCTCGCCTTTGATCCCTCAAGCCGTATTTCAGTCGAGGAGGCCCTGGAACACAGGTACCTACAAATTTGGCACGATGCGTCCGACGAGCCTTCATGCCCAACAACATTCGACTTCCAGTTCGAGGTAGTCGAGGAGATCCCGGAGATGAAGAAGATGATCCTGGATGAGGTCAGTCGCTTCCGCCAGATGGTGCGCGTACAACCCGGTGCAGGCGCTGGGGGGAACCAGGCACCGCAAGTCCCGATACCCAACAACTACGACCGCGCTGGCTACGAAGACCCAAGGCCGCAAGAAGCGTTCAACCAAGGTGGATGGAACGGAAGCGATCTGGAGCGTGATCTCCAGGGTCTTGACGGCCGCATGCGATAAGTGGGTTTGGATTGGACGAATCTGTTGGTTGCAACATGTCTTCTCGTTGGTTTGAGCGTGAGCGTGGAGGGATTTGGGTAATATTTGAGCCCCGTGTAATTTCTCTCAAAATCTATTGAATGATTACTATGTTCGATTGACTTCGTAACGATCTGAGTCCACAAGCAACGATGGTATAGCATTGCTTAGAGGTCGTCGACATCCGTAATAACTATCATACGGTACAGATAGCAGGAAGACCATTCAGACCATATGTAATGTCATCGTTGAGCTCACTGCTATATGAGTTGCCGACAAGTCTACTTCATCCCCTTCATAGCATCCAGCACATCCCCCTCCAAACACTCCAACAGCCCCGGCGCCTCACCCTTATACCCCCACTTCTCACCCGCCCTCTCAGCCCTCGTCCGCGAATTACTCGCAAACAAATACCTCGCCAGCTTCGGGAATCCGGGATAATTAGCCATGCCATCCAGTTCCTCCAAACCGATCTGCACCGGTTCCGCATCCTTGATAACGCCATGCTTGTGCAGAATGCTCCCCACTGCTTTCGCAACATCGATCTGCGAATGCTCTTGCGTGGCAGCAAAGTAGTAGCCGTTTTCGTTGAAGAAATCACCACTGGAGGAGTCGGAGTTGGAGGACAAGGAAGAGGCTGCGGCTTCCACAACGTGCAAGTACAGACGCATGAGGTCGTTGATATGCACCCAACTCCGGGTGTTGGCGCCTTGGTTGTAATAAAAAGGTTTCCCACTCTCAATCCCCTTCGCTGCGTGGATGAAGAAGGGGATAAGCGCACTGTGCGTTTTAACTAATCCCCTGCCTTTGCCGTAGATATCGGGGGGGCACATGATAGCTATCTTGATCCTATCACCGTGCTTGGCGATGGTGTCGTGTAAAATGGTTTCGGTGTTACGGTGCAGCGCCGTAGGAGGCAACTCCCTGATTTCAGCCAAAGAAGTCTTGTCTGACCATACCTTTGGGTTTAGCACTCCCAAGTACTGTTCGTCGGCCCAATCCGACACTATTCCCGTGCCGGAGAGGTGGAGTAGGTAGCCTGGGGTAGGCCGCTGGAGGAGACCTGAGATGATGGCGGAGAGGCTGGGTTCGTGGTCGGAGTCCCCGCAGTGGACGACGATGTCGGCGGAGGCGGCGGCGGAGGTTATCAAAGAGGTGCTGGAGTAGGAGCCGGTTAGGATGGTGATGTTGGGGTAGGTGGATTTGAAGTTTGAGGGGGTTCGGCGGAGAAGTACGGTGATGGTGTATTCGGGGTGGGTGGTTGCGAGGGTGTGGAGGACGGAGCCGCCGATGTAGCCTGTGCCTCCTGTGCTGGGCGGGGGTTAGTTGTTGGGATGTTGGAGAGGGGGAGGGGGTGGGTGTGTACAGGAAGATCTTGGGTGCCATGATGATGTTGTTGGTAGATTGATGATATGGGCCTAAGTTGAGGTTGATGGTGAGATGTACTGTAGTGTTTGTAGGATCTCCAGGATACTCCAAAGGCATATATATACAAGTCGGCTACTCCGATTTGATTGGTAATACGATCCCACTGCTGGCACAGCACTCAGCTTTACAAAATTGTAGCTACAATCGTCATGTAACTACACTGTTTCGTCCGTGATCTAGAGGGTTTGTTTTTTTGACTCTTTGGTCCGGAGTGCAAATACTCGGGACAACATTCAGGCCGTGTGGCTAGTGCTAAGGATGGTGTATACGCTATTTACATGCGACCGGCTAAGGACTCTGGAAGATGCTAAAGTTCGTCCGTGGATGCTGAGCGTAGATTCGTCCCATCCACGGGACGTCTGATGGGTTTTGTTCGTTTGAACATGAGGATGCTGAGATTTAGGAATTTCTCGAACATTGCAGATGAGCACGTTGTGGGTCGTACGTCGTGGGAGCGTGGGTGGTATCAGCGAAGACCTCATGATGATGTGCGCCAGCCTTGAGACCATCCAACTGCGCAGGCTGTGACAGCCAGGTAAGACCTTTCTTTCATCAGTGTTCGTAGAGTAGCTGGGTGGTGTTTCCCACATCACGGCAATGCTGCATGCTGCCGAACTGGTCTGTGCGCCAGGCCAGGGTCTCTAGCGCGATAATTATTTCTCGGTCTTAGAACTTTTGGCAAGCCGGTGCGCTTCAAGTCGAACTTTTCGCGCCATTGCACAGCACCCCTAAACGCATTATACACCATGTCGCCCGCCGCGATCGAGTCGGGAAACAAGAGGAAGAGGTCTCACAAGAGCAAAAAGAGCGCCGAGCCAGCAATCGCACCAGCGCATGATGGCGTAGATGCTACCAAAGCGCGCAAGAAGGCGCGCAAGGACAAGGCGCCTGTCGTCGAAGAGCCTGTGGTAGAGGATGTTTCTGAGGAGGAACAGAGCGACGAGGAAGAAGAAGCGGCAGTAGAGGAAGTCGTCGCAGAAGTCAGTGCCGCAGACGACGACAGCGACAAGGAAGACGATGAAGGCGACAATGACGAGCTTGCCGAACTACCCTCTGGCACGGGCAGCAATGCCGTTGATCTTCCCTCAGGCACCTCGATGCCCTCAGCGAACCCGACGCGATTCGACGAGCTCAACCTGAGCGAACGAACGATGACCTCCATCAAGAACATGGGCTTCGAGAACATGACAGAGATCCAACAGAAGGCTATACCACCTCTGCTGTCTGGAAGGGATGTGCTTGGAGCGGCAAAGACGGGCAGTGGAAAAACACTGGCTTTCCTCATCCCCGCCATCGAGATGCTCTCACAGCTGCGGTTCAAGCCACGCAACGGAACTGGAGTCATTGTCGTATCGCCGACCAGAGAATTGGCGTTGCAGATCTTCGGTGTAGCGCGCGAGCTCATGGAACCACACAGCCAGACGTTTGGTATCTGCATCGGTGGTGCCAACCGCAACGCAGAAGCCGAGAAGATCAGGAAGGGCTTGAACTTGATCATCGCTACTCCCGGGCGCCTCCTCGATCATCTACACAACACGCAGGGCTTTGTCTTCAAGAACTTGAGATCGCTCATCATCGACGAGGCAGACAGAATTCTCGAAGTCGGTTTCGAAGACGAGATGAGGTCCATCATCAAGATCCTGCCTACGGAGCGTCAGACTATGCTTTTCTCCGCAACACAGACCACCAAGGTCGAGGATCTCGCAAGGATATCGCTCAAGGCCGGCCCCCTCTATATCAACGTCGATCACCGTGCCGAGCATAGCACGGTCCAGGGATTGGAGCAGGGTTACGTTCTGTGCGATTCAGACACCAGGTTCAGGCTTCTGTTTTCTTTCCTTAAGAAACACCAGAAGAAGAAGGTCATTGTCTTCTTGTCATCATGCGCATCTGTCGACTTCTACAGCGAATTGCTCAACTACATCGACCTGCCTGTGCTTGGACTGCACGGCAAACTCAAACAACAGGCGCGAACGAACCGCTTCTTCGAGTTTGTCAACGCACAAAGCGGCACACTCATCTGCACAGATGTTGCTGCGCGAGGACTAGATATTCCTGAGGTGGATTGGGTTATTCAATTCGACCCACCTGATGACCCGCGAGGTAAGCTTGAACGCACGCAATGCATGATCATCTACTGACTTGTCTACAGACTACATCCACAGAGTCGGTCGAACAGCCCGAGGTGCAAATGGCAAGGGCAGGAGTTTGATGTTCCTCTTGCCATCGGAAGTAGGGTTCCTCAAGCTGCTCAAGGAAAACCGAGTACCGCTGGTTGAGTTTGAGTTGCCTTCCAACAAGATTCTCAACATCCAGTCACAACTGGAAGCCTTGATCAGCAAAAACTACTACCTCAACAAGAGCGCAAAGGATGGCTACCGGTCGTACCTCCAGTCGTACGCTTCACATAGCTTGCGGTCGGTGTTCGACGTGCACAAGCTGGATCTCGTCAAGGTGGCCAAATCGTTCGGTTTCTCGACACCACCGCGCATCGACATCAGTCTTGGGGCGAGTCTCAGTCGCGACAAGAAGGTGGAGGGAAGGAGAGCATACGGAAGCCAGCCTGCGCAGGGCCGACGACCGATGAGGGGAGGCAAGAGGTTCTGAGGTAGTAGTTGAGAGGCATTGAAGGGAGTTTGGCGTACAAAATCACATACGGGCCATGATCTAGGGTTTATAGCTTTGCATGATCTAATTGAGCACCCATGGGGATGTCGGTAACTTCAGAAGCGAAATGTGTCAATTTGATGTGGACCTTGAACTTCAAACAACTCTGTCCCTGATATGTATGACATACTCGGTAGCTTATATCTAACTGCAAGCAAAAAATGAACGTCTTGAAGACCGCCCGTACAGCGCCACCAAACCGGTGAGAGCTAGCAAGATTCGGGCGGGCAACCACTGAGGCAGCAGAAGCGCAACATTGTGCAGGCCGCGTCAAACTGCCAGTTCACCAAGTCTGCATCCTTCGGAATATTTATTCTCTAGCATGAGGCACTTCTGGTATTCTATTTGACGGAGTTGTGCCCGGCAGCCAGCCCTACGAGTTTCCCAAAGCGCAGACGCCGCGGCTTGTATGGAGCCCTGGGGGATGCGCTGGCAAGTCGCTGAGCAGCTGGCGGGCCAATCACGTCGCGGAGATGGGAGAGCGAGCTGGAGCGGATGCGGCCGCCCACGGGGGTTGCGGCACCATCACCCCTGGTAACGACACGGGTGCTAGAAGCTAGCTAGCTATGTAGTTAGCAGCGAGACGGCCGCCATGACGGATGTTTGACAGTCTGGCGGTGAGCATTTCACGTCAAGTTGGAGGGAAGCTGGCTGGAAAAGCAGCAAAAAACATGGAATCTCAAGAGCCTGATTTTGAGATTGTGGCATGGAGGCGCGGGAAGACGGGAGGGGTAAGAATAGAATAGGCGACGTGGTTGCTTTTGGTGCGACCAGCCATCTTTGTTACAGGCAGCCGGTGGAGGGACGGTAGAGGCTGGCATTCGTCGCGCACTTTGCAGTGGGATGCATGGCCAACGGCGTCCACGAGGGACACCAGGCACGCTGTATGGTCTTGACGCGGCCGAGTGGCTGGGGACAGACAAGTCATGATGTATCGCCCGTAGCCCATCGTTGGTCGAATACGACGCGACCTGTCGCAGGTGGTTCTATTCACTCTGTGCCCTTTACATCATCTTTCACAACTTTATACCCATCGTACTATTGCACTAGGATAATTGTAATAATTCTAATAATCCTTCGCCGACACGCCATCCTCGATCTGCAAAGGTCAACAAGCCTCACCTCCAGCCCGTGTTAGCGCCGACAAGGATTGCTGTTCTCCAGCCGTGACCCAGCCTTTCTCTCCACCACAGCTGGAGTTGGCGACCACCACAGGACGCCTCTCCACCAGCGAAGAGCGCGACGGAGCTGCAGAGCCATTGCTACCTGCGATAGACGGGAGCTGTTGTGCTGCCTGGTCTGGTGAGTCCCGTGACATCTGACATTGCTGAGCAGCTGGAGGTGTCTAACCCGCCTAGCCTGAACGTCGGCGGCCATTGTCGCAGAGCGTCGCACGCCGCAGAGCTGTGCTGCACGCATTCGACCGCCAACTGGACCTCTCACGTCCCCGTTCACGTCCGTTCACGACCCCCGTCCCGTTCACGCCCGCTATCACGGCTCCTCTCGCACACCCGCCCTCGCTGTTCGCGCACCAGCAACATCCAGGTTGCGCAAACGTAAACAGCCACGGTGCGGCCCTGCACCCACACCATCGCCAACATCATTTCCCTCCCATAACGTCCTCGAGGAAAACGGCGCCGGACATGTCTTCCGTCACCCACCCCGCCTTCTAGAATCTTTCAGATTCTACGATGGTTTTAGATACAGAACGACCTCCTCTTCCGGCACCTACTGAACCCTCGACTCTGGATTCCGCAGACGAATCAACCTACCACATCGACGAAATCAACACCGACGTCTCCAACCGCACCGACAGAACCTCGTACTCCGTCCCCGACGACGGCACCCCCATCACCATCAACACCACCTCGCCCACCAAGCCCCGCGGCCAAGCGAGGCTCTCCCGCAAGTTCCCCTCGCAGACGTCGCTGCTCATTGAGTACTTCGAGTCCGGCAAGGACGAAGGCCAGACCGGCTCGCGAGGCAGCGTGCGCGTCCGCGTCACCCCCTCGTCTCGCAAGAGCAGGCACTCGACCGCGAGCGACAACGTCCAGATCACCCAGACGTCCGCCAAGCGCAACTCCCACGCGCCCTCGTACTCCAAGCGCCTCTCGCTCGCGACCAGCAAGTCGTACTCCGAGCTCTACGACTCGCGCACCGTCGCCTACTCCGACCTCTCCAACATCTCCTCCCTGCCGCCCGTCGACATCGAGCTGCTGCCCAACCACAGCGACCTGTCTACCGACGGCGGCCGCTTCCTCCCCATGCCCTCGGACATATCGTCCATGCCC